CTTCCTCCTCAGCAGCAGCCCCCCCAGAGAGCACCCCTGGGCACGGCCCGCATGGAGCAGTGCAGCAAAAGACATGGCAGCTGGGCAGCAGGGACAAGACTCTGCCCTCACGTCCCATCGCATGCAGATGATGATGCGGGGCAAGGGCGGAAGGCATGGCTGCCATGGCGCTGCAGGGCCACCTGGGCGATCTGCTGTGGTGCGCCGTGGAGGCGGTAGGTGGCCCTGCGGATGGGCGGGGCAGGGGGAAGAGTGGGAGCAGGCGTGGCGGTTTTGGGGCACTCGGTGTCCAAAACGTTCGCCATCATTGGTCTAACAATGGTGAACAGCATGCTTGGAACTGGTGAGAGTATCGATCTTCTCTCTTCTACTCTGTAACTAAGTCCTTGGGAAAGATCCCCAAATTAAGAAAACCTCCGAAAGTGAAGGGAGGGGACTACACCCCCACTCCCCCATAGATGGAAGCGGTGAATTAACCTTTAAGGGGGAAAGAAATATATTGAAATCAAAGTTAAAATATTACAGTATGGATAAATCTAGAAATTAAAAAACTGCTAAGATTATACTTTAAAGGGTTTTGATGAAACTATAAAAATAATATTTTTGTCTGAAAAAGCTGGAAAACAAACAACTACTGACACCTAATGGAGAACTAGAACATAGAACATTAACAACACTGACTCAGAAATTGGCAAGATGCCCAGAAACAAAGAATAATATGTTCCCTTGAACTTTAATAACCTTCAGAAGACAGCTGGGTGGGAACAAAGAAAGAATACATATTGGGCCAGCCATAAGATTAAAAAGAGTCTGAAGGAAAAGAAATACTCTGACTATTATCTAAACTCAAGAATTGTTTACAGAAAAAGAAAAACTTTGACTTTTGTAATTCCATAATTAGTATATTAATTAATAGTATATTTATTTGATCTTCCCTTCTCCCAATAGTATTCTCCTTCTTCAACCTTAATCAGATATAATTCTTAATATTTTCAATGCATAAATGATTAAATATAAACATGTTTTTTCATGTTTGTACAAATAATAACGTCCATGTATGACATTTTTTCTTATCAACTTGTGTTGTTTTTATAAAAATCATCTTATTAGTTCACCATATATCCTATTTTCATAATTCTTATTTAAGCTTAATTTCCCTTTAATGTTCAAACAATTCTTATCAGTCATAATTTTCTCAATATTAATCATCTAAATATCCAGATTTTCCATTTAGATCACACCATCCCAATGTTTTCATATTTCATGTGTTATAAAAATACTATACTGCTTATCTATCTTATGACATATACCTATAACTTCTTTTCTGATCAGTTTATAATAATAACAATAATTTTTCTAAACATAATTTGTAATTTTTTATAATGAATAAAAAGAGAAAGAAGTCTTACTTTCCAATATTTTTAGGTTACATGAACTTAGAATCAGAAGATATAAAAATTACAGTAAAGCAGTACATAGTAGCAGACACTATAGCTAAACATTCATACCTCCTGGTAAGGTGTATATAAATGAAATAAATACATGAAACAATTTATTGAACCAATAATAGTAAATAATAGATGTTATTATATTTAATAATGTTATTATAATTATATTCTGCATTTTTATTTAAAGCGTCCAGCAAGGTGAACATTGTGGGAAGTTAAATTCAGTTCTCCCTAGATACACATCAACTGGGTAAATATGGTTGGACACTCTGTTTCATTCTATTAGCCACACAAAACAAAATAGTTGGTTGACAGAACATATCTATAATTGCATGCACACAAACACAATCCCTATTCAATGATGTGGGCTGTACTAAGGTCACTACTGAGGGGAAGTTGAACTGAAGACAGACCAATCTGTATCAAGATCTAGCAGTCAAATCAATTATCTTAGTCAAAATCACTGGGAAGAGGAAGAGGGACTTCAACCCTATTACTTCCTGAGATCTTGAGGAAAGTTCTGCTGAGTTATGCAATGCAACTCCTGTCAGATTCTCCATATCTACCTAAAGAACCATTCAGCAGACTACTAAAAACCTAAATCTGTTATAGAGCTGTGAGTGCTAAAAGGGTCAACATTAGCTATTATCTTTCCACCACAACAAGGGCAGCCAAAATGCTGGTGCAGCAAAAGGAAATGGGGAAATTGATGGGGAGAAAAGTTCAGGCAATTGAAGGGTACACATACGGTTTACCGCTTATCCATCACATACTCTTACTCTTACTCTAACTCATTACCTAACCACTACCTTGGATCAAGTAAAATCTTGGACAGTATTGGTCAACGTTTCCAATTTAATAAAGTAAACAATATAGAAATGTAAAATGGAGTAGAAAAGCAAGGGAAAAGATAGGGAAAGAACTTTGGCCATAGCACAATGGCAGAGGGAGGAAAGGACTTCAGGAGTTAGATTTTATCAGGAATGAATTTTAGATTTTATCTTTATTTAAACAAACCAAGATGCCCAAATGACTGCATAAGCATATAACTGAGATTATCAATAAAGAACCTTTTGCTGATGCTAACTAGAAAAAAATAAGATTCTGATTATCAAACAACCTCTTCAGAGAAATCTATTCAGTACTTTTGCTGCTATTTGCAAAAGTTGCTTATTCAGATTTTGGAATTTATTTGTTGTATATAATAATAACTAGTTTACTTTTGCTGTTAATGTTACCCAGAGTTGCCCTATTGGACAGATGTGTAGCATTAAATTTAATACATGAATATTTTTAGTACTGTTGTAGTTTTTTATTCTATTATATTCTGTGAATCACCCTGAATCATATTTACAGAAGACAGTTAAAATATACCTTGTTTAAAATGCACAGATATCAGTCTTTTTGTTAGCTTAGGGTAGTGTTTCTCAACCTTGACAACATTAAAATGTTTGTACTTCAACTCCCAGAATTCCCCAGCCAGATTTTTGTCTGAAAAACACATCAGACAAAGGTCCACTTTGGATACTGTACCAAACAATTCTTTATAACAATTATCAGTGTGATTAACAGAATAAAAGAATGACAGAATGACAGAGTTGGAAGGGACCTTGGAGGTCTTCTAGTCCAACCCCCTGCTCAGGCAGGAAGCTCTATACCATTTCAGACAAATGGTTTTCTATTTTTCAACCATATTCACAAGAATAGTTAAGATTATCTAATCCTTCATGAAGACGTAGAGTGCTGTGTTGAGCTCACAAACTTCTTTACTCCTTCTCTCTCAAGTGTAGCTTGACACATGGTTTGAAACTACTAAATTTCATTAGTATACAAATGAAGTTAGGAAAACTACATTTAGAAAATGAGACAGAAAAATAAACATATTTTTGATCCTTGCAATTGCTTTAAAGTAACTAAAATTCCTTCCCAGACTGAATGCAATTATGACCTTAAACTGTATGCTGCCATCTATTACAAAGTAGCCTTTTTGCAATAACAGACCAAGCAAGCTGAGAAGCAAATTGCAGTTAGAATTCTAGTCTTACAACATTTATATTTAATCTAATTGTGCCCTCTACTGGCTTTAAAGTTACAGGACAATAAGAACAAAAGTAACAGTATTAATCATTTTTAAAAAAATAAACAAACTTCTACAATAGTTATTCCACGGAACAATTAAACAGGAGTTACTCAAGTTCTAGTATCCAGTAGTTTTTCAACATTTATATAACTATATGCATTTTATATATGTGTATGTGTAATTTTGTTTTATCCAATGATTCTCAATCCTTGACTTATTGGCAAAAAAATGGCTTTTTAATTTTAAATTCTGATTGTCCAAATGTACCACTTGCAAATCTGCATTTTTGAAAAGAAATTCAAGAGACCATTTCAGCATATCTCTCATATAAAAATTATTTCATTGCAATATATGCCTCTCACATTTAAATTAGGAAACATAATTATTTCTTATTAGAAACGGGCCTTCTTGTCAATTAAGTTTTTAGACAACAAAGTAGGAAGTAAGTAGTGCTTTGATTACTGAAATAATAAGAATAATTAATAGGTGGATAAAAATGCCAAATATAATCCAAACATCTGGATGAGTGTTCAACCAACCATAATAATAAATCACAACGCTGTTCAAATAAATCACTGCTCAACACTATCCATATATACAACAAATGGAGTTTGAATTGGATAAATGTGCCACTTTTACCATCAATGGAGGAAAATAATGAAAACTAAGGGAATGAAGATAGCCTATGGAAATAAAATTCAAAGTCTGGATGAAGATGTTCATTACAAATACCTGGGCATCCTTCAAGCTGACAACATCAAGTCAAGATGAAGATTATAAATGAATACATTGTGAGTCCAAAGAAGATTTTAAAGTCCAAACTATTAATTTCTTAATAAGTCTCAGTTTTCACTGGAGCTTACTTCTGAATATTTCTGAATTGATTCTGCTGGATAAGCACTATCGTATGCACACAAATGGAAGTTATCTGTTTTGAAACTGTGGTATTTCTTTTGTGTAAAAATGCATAAAACGTCAAGGACTAAGCTAGACGTGATGTCCTGACTGTTAACAAAATAGCAGGTTATGAATGAGGGTGTAGGCTGGTGCCTCAAATGTTTTTCCTGTATCTGGAGAGGGGTTAAAAATAAGCATTTGTTTCATGACTCTATGTCCCTCCCAGTCCTTCAAAAACCCAAATGCAGGCTTGGAAACAAAAGAGATACTGCCCACTGTTCATCTGAGGCTATGCCTGATGGGCCTTCGCTCCTGCAATTGCTGTGGATAATTTGTTTCTCCCATTCACCCATAAGCAAGAATTAGATGAAACTGGTAGCACTGTTCAGTATTTTTCACATCCACAAAATGTACTGAAAATATTCATCAATACACAATCTTAGCTTAATTCAGATTGTTATAGACAAGGTACAGATTATATTTTGTTTAAAATAGCTTAGAAAAAGGCTTGAAAGGAGCTTCAATCATTATATAAGTAATAGTCAATTAAAGACATTTATATTGCAACACATTACCTTGACAGTTTTATCCATAGAGGCAGAAAGCAACATATGGCTCCACCTCTGCAGAGGACACCAGCAAACTGCATTAATTGGTCCACTATGCTCAGCCATGTGAAACACCAAGTTCTTTGGAATTTCAGTAACTGCATATTTTGATCCTATATATGGCATAATATATTGAGAAATTTTAACTGACATTTTATCTTCAGCTGTACTAAATTTAGCTGAAGAAGGTACGCTTTCTTTTTGGTATTCCTTTTTTTCCTGTTGCAGTTTTTTTGAAATATATGGTCTCAGTTTCTGAATAGTTACATCTCCATCATTATGCATCCTCTTCTGAGCATATGCATTTCCAGAAGGTATTTTAGGTTCCAATAAAGGATGTAATGGCTGGGTATACTTAGTCCTTGTTTTTGTCAAAGTAGCAGGGTACAATTTCTGTGGTACTGCTTCTATTATAGTCTTTTCATTAGGTTGTAGATGCTGTTGAAAGGTATCCTCATAACACATGTTCTTTTCGGAGCTGCCCACGTATTCCACAGATTCGACTTTTCTCTCAGAAATAATATTTAAGTCATCACTGGGCTGAACAACATCCACAGCAGAATTTGTTAGATTGATTTCACTGCTAATAACATCTCCGGATCTCCCGGTCTCTGCTTCAGAATCAGAATCATCATATGCAACAAGTGAAAAACTCATTATGTGAACTATAGGTTGGGGGGGGGGGAACGCTGAAATGTACGTCTTTGGATTCTCATCAACAATGAGTACTTTCTGTAATGAAAGGAACAAATACAAACTGTCACTTTAAATAATTCTGTTTCATCTCTTTCTTACTTACAAAAGTCATCATAATTTATTTCTAGGGTTTAAAAATATTTGTACTTTTAATTTCTTAATTGGTGTATTTTAATTTATTTAATTATTAAATAAATATATTAAATAAATCATTATTTAATTGTTCAAGTTATATGCTGTCAAATTTCCATGGACTCAGCTTACAGTCAAAATCAAATATAAACATCAACAGGCGCAACACATATAAACATCTGTAATAATGCATTTAGGTATTAATATCCACAGTAAACATTAAAATAGCTACTGTATATAATAACTATAATACCTATTATTAAATATTAAAATATCCATGATAAGATAAAAGAATTAAATGATTCAGAAATAACCTGACTAAAAACCCCTATGAAAAATGCATATATCTCCATTGGGAATTACGGTAGTATCAATCAAAAAAAGAATAATTTAGAACAATTCTGTCTTCACAGGTCTCTCAGAAGACCTGTACTTTACCATACAATCTAACATTTAGAGAAAGACTGCTCTGTAAAGTTAGTGCTAGTATAAAGCAGCATCTCCTTTTCATTTCAGCATCTGACTTTGCAAAAAATGCAGAAGAATCAAAAGTCTCTCCCTCCCTGATTATACAGGGCTAGTTAATTCTAACTCAAGAAGATGGTCTTAGAGATGCTATATAATCAATAAAATGTTAGTCTCAAAATACTAATTTGGCTGGCATATTGCCTTTTCCCAAATAAGATAATTTTACTCATTTGCTGAATAAAAGAACTGTCATGGAGCCAGCACCTCTGTTTTCATAAAATGCAAGTAGAGGGCCATGTTCAGTTAAATGAACTGATACATCAATAGCTATGGCAGTGTGGATTCAGTGTGTCTAACAGTGTATATAAATATAAATTTTAGCTAATTAGCCTACTAGAATACAGAAACAAACATTAACAATTTGATATATGGGACAATACTAGTTGTAACCCTATAGTAAAAAAAAGTCTTGGATTTAGAAGTAAACATGGAAAATGAAAAATCTGGGTTGTTAAATATTAAAAAGACAATCATGTTAACTAGCATGCTTAGCTGAACTCACAGGTGACAGCAAAAATGATACTTTTGTTTTCTTGAGCTCAAAGATAGATTAAGTATTACAAAGAGTGCAGAGAAGAACAAAGATGATTAGGGGATTGGGGACTAAAATGTACGAAGAACAGTTGATGGAATTGGGTATATCTAGTTTAATGAAAAGAAGGACTAGGTGTGACATGATAGCAGTGTTCCAATATCTCAGGGATTGCCACCAAGAAGAGTCAAGCTATTCTCCAAAGCACCTGAGGGCAGAACAAGAAGCAATGGATGGAAACTAATCAAGGACAGAACCAACCTAGAACTAAGGAGAAATTTCCTGATAGTTAGATCTAATCAGTGGAACGACTTGCCTACAGAAGTTGTGAATGCTCCAACACTTTTTAAGAAGACATTGGACAATGGACAACCATTTGTCTGAAATGGTATAGGGCAGTGATGGTGAACCTTTTAGAGACTGAGTGCCCAAACTGCAACCCAAAACCCACTTATGTATCGCCGGGTGCCGGGCATGGCCCATTGGGTGGGTGTGGCCCATTGGGTGGGCGTGGCTGCAGTGGTAACGGCAGACTGGGTGGGACTAAAAAGTTCAATCAATCAATTCCAACTTTGCGAGAACTTTTTTTCCCCGCGAGAAGTTGAAATTGATTGATTGAACTTTTTTTTTTGCACACAGTGGCAGAGGCCTAAAGCAAAAAGGTTTTATAAAACCCAGCTGAAGGCCTAGGACTGGGGCGACGGCTCGCGTGCCCAGAGATGGCTCTGCATGCCAACTGTGGCACGCGTGCCATAGGTTCGCCACCACGGGTATAGGGTTTCCTGCCTGAGCAGGGGGTTGGACTAGAAAACCACCAAGGTCCCTTCCAACTCCATTATACTGTTATAGATTAATGTGCTGGATAATTAAGGATTATCAACAACAAGCAAGAACTACTTAGGACATTTCACAAAAGTAGATGAGGGGCTAGAAAAAGCAACTATACTTGGCATGGCTGAAAGTAGAAGTAGGGAAGGCAAGGAGAAGCCAGCTCCTGCATCTTTTCACACTGGGCAATTTAGCAAGTGGAGGATGACACAGAATTAAATCACCGCTAATCAATCTGAAACTCTGTCTTCTTTGTAGCCGACCAGTCTGTTTAGGAAATAGAGGCGTTTACAAAACGTGCTTCGGTACATTTATTTCTTCTCTTAGAACAGGCAAAGCCCGCTCTGGAGGTTAATTGTTACCAACTGCAACTGATGCCATTGAAACAGATCCTGAATGGGCCGGGGACTAGCGAATAAGGAAGAAAAAAAAGAAAACCTAGTCACTCAAGCCATTGACCTAAAGGGGGATCCACTTTACAGCAACACTACCTGAGAGCAGCCTCCTCTGACATCAGATTAGATCGCCTTGCAGCGTGGCCACATCCTTTCCTCAAGAAAGCCACCCCTAGGAAACTCGACTTGGTCTCAAACGTTCCTATTTTACTCTCATCAGCGTCATCCGTCTTTCTTCCTGGTTTGTGCGCTCTCTATTTTATTTATTATTATTTTTTAAGAGAGTTTGGCGTCTCTGACAGACCTTCCCGCAGTGCGCTCGCAGGGGAAGGCTTTCCGTTTCTCTCCTCCTCCTTGTCCTCAGTTCCGGGCTAGGAACGTCTTTCCTGATCGGAAGATGATCAGCGTCGCACGAGCTGTGCTCTAGCTGATGCAATGGGGCTGCTTCTGCTGGAGAGCCGCTGAAAGAATTGGGGATTCCGCGGACAGGTAAGGTAAAGACAGTTAAAAGAGGTGAAAGGAGGCAAAGCGGGGAGGGCTCTTGGTATCTTAAAAAGTCGGCTGGGGATCGGAGAAAAAGAAAGGGAGATCTCGGGTGGGGGAGATTTCCGTGGGAGAAAAAGGAAAACCGAATCTAGGATTGGAGAGAAAAATCTGCTACTTCCGCCTGACTTTCGGTGATAGGCGTTGTATGTATCTTTTGCTCTCCTGAAAATTAGCCCTTGAGTGAATACTACCGTAGTAGGCCACCCTGACTAGGAGGTTGATAATTAAGATTTCATTATTTAAAGGACTTTTCAAGCCTTCTCGTTGAAATGCATACAGTGGTCCTGTAGAATATGTCACGACGACTGAGATCTTTGCAGACGTAATTTTCATATCAGGGTACGATTTGGTTCCTTTTTCTCCTTTTTAAAAGATGCGTTCGTTTGCTATGTTTATATGCTGGTAGATCCTAGTACAGTCCAGCTGCAGAAATCAGCAGAAAGCCAATATGGGAAGCTGCCCTGCTCAGAGCAGATTAATTCCAGCCCAGCTTTGTTGAAGTAAACTGACAGGATGGAACTCTCTAGTCTAAAATATTTTAAATGTAATCACTTCCTGACATTGATTACAGCACAATTGCCTATATACTGTAACAGTATCATTTTTAAAAAAGAAGTGCATTTACTAGTGTTTGGAACATGGCTCAATATCCCAAAACAAACAAACTCACTTGGAATTCCAAGAACAAAGCTTTATTTGGAAAGAAGCATTTGCAAAGGCTTGGTGGACTTAGGCTCATGCAGGAGTCTTCAAGCCACACCTTAAAGAAATGTCAAACACACTTTTATACCCTATCCCCAAAGCAGATTCCCCCCTCCCCTATCGCTCTCAACACCCTTTTCTAAATATCCGATAAATTAATCCAAAGCGCCTAAGCGCGCCAATCTCCCCCTTCCCAGGAAGCCCCTTTGTGCACGTCTACAGTCTTATCTATCATAATCTAGTCTTATTTAGCAAAGCTCGACTCCTATAGTTATCTTTATATTTTCTCTGTTTGCGGTTATGCCTAGCTTCAGTTGACCTACTTACAATCTTTTGCTAGCCTAAGCTCTGTCTTCAATTTTTGTGTTCCCTCTGCTTGTGGATTCAGTTAGCCAGCAGCTTCTATTTATCTTTATTTGTGTAGAGTTAACTTGTCTGTGTTTATTACTTCCAGGTGGCTTTTCCTACAGAATTTCATTAGAAATTTCTGATTAATAATCTACTCCTATCACTAGTAATTGTGCTACTGATCTTATCAATAACCCTTTTTTGGCAACTATTCAAAGCTACAACATCCCTGAAAAAGGTGATATACAACCAGTCCTTGCACTTATGATTATTGCAATGCCTCCACAATCATGTGATCAAAATTCAGGCCTTAGCAACCAGCATGGATTAATAATGATTGCAGTGTCCCAAAGTCACGTGATCAGCATTTGTGATTCTCCCCAGCTGACAAAGCCAGTGGGAGAAGCCAGATTCACTTAATGACCATATCCTTCACTTAACCGCATTGATTCACTTAAGAGCTGTGGCAAAAAGGTCATAAAATCTGGCATCCCAGGATGACTTATTTAATTGCCTTGCTTAGCAATCAAAGTTTTGATCCAAATTGTGGTCGTAAGTCAAAGGCTACCTGTAAACTAATTACCCTTATGTAATTCATAGATAGATAGATAGATAGATAGATAGATTGATAGATTGATAGATAGATAGATAGATAGATAGATAGATAGATAGATAGATAGATAGATAGATACTAATATTTATTATTTGTCTTATAGAATTCTCCAAGCTTGCGGTTTTGAAGTTTCTGGATAAAACATTATGAAACGCACTTTAAATTAAAAATACAAGACTTTCCACACTCCTTAAAATGGCAAATATTCCAAATGAAAGCTTTTGCTCTTTTAAGCCACTTGAACTGTTTGAACAAATAGCAGCACAAGGAGAAAAAGTCAGATCACTGAAATCCAAGAAAGCATCAAAGGTAAAGCAGTACTTTATTAGTTGAATTTCCCTGAAAATACGAATCATTTCTGTGGAGTCCACCTATATAAACATTATTACAAGATAGCCTTGTAATAAAACCGTGTCACTACGAAGTATTGAATTGGATTTGTGTGTGTGTGTGTGTGTGTGTGTGTGTAGGGGGCATGTTCTGTCATCGTGCCACCAGAATTGAATTTTAATTTTCTTGATAAAATATAGTGTTAGATCCAGAGCATTTTTTCTGTAAGCAAATGTGCTCCTTACATTGTTGAAAGTGATTGAAAACCATCAAAGGCTTTCACTGGACTAGTGAAAATATTCTCTGATTCAGCCTTTGCTCTGACCTTGTTCATCTCATCTACTCACAAATAGTACTTGGAAGAAATTGTCATAAACCAATTACTTACTTGACTGCCACCTGAATCTCTCAGATGTTTTTCTTATTCAAGTTTCACTACTAATAAAATGACAAAATGAGCAAGAACAAATTTAAAATTGTAGGATTTATTCAGTGACGATGCAATGTGTAAATGTTTCGTTGTTTTCCTTAATATCTGTCTATAACTTATTTTCAATTGCTAAATCTTTACTGTAGATTTAGTAAAAAAAAATTGGACCTTCATAGTAAATGTTCTGCATTACATTCTATAGATAAAATCAGTCAAATCTGTTCCAATCTAGATGAAATAGTTTTAACAGAATCTCTTAAGAGCTGTAACCAATGCATTATCTGTGCTAAGATGGATACAGTCTTACCTTGTACAACTAAAGGTTGTGAACTAGGATGTCCTTTTTGCTAAATCCAAAAAGGTGAGCAGAAACAGTGGGGAAAAGGCAGTCCTACACTTGATTTAGGCTTAGTTCTTACCAAGAACAGCTGCTGTAAGCACCCAAGAAGAAAACCTGCCCTAATCCTGTTAGCCTTTTGTAAGTCACTGAAGACCTGTTTCCTCAGACTTTCAGGCCTGGAAGTTTTGTTACTGAGGTGATTTTACGATTAGAATGAATCATTTACATTCTGAACTAATGCTTTTCCCTGTTGGATTTTTAATCTTTGTGCACTATCCCAAACCATATGGTGACATAGGCATCATATTGTGAGGCGGGCAGCCATATAAATTATATAAATAAAGTGTTCTGTAAAAATACGTGGTTTTTAAAGAAAGACATGATAGGCAAGTGAAGCAATTTGGTTCTAATTGGAGTATGCTCACCAAACTCTTAAATGGAATACTTATAATAATCTTTCCTTTTTTGGTTCCACTGTGCCCCTGTGAAATAGATAAATATTTGTACCTGTTTTGCAAGTGGAAAAAAATGCAATAGAGGCCTTGAATGACGTGCTCAACATTACATAAGCAGATTGTTTGGCTGTAGTTGTGGTTTTGAGAATTTTCTTTTGCCTTTTTTTGGGGGGGAGGGAGAACCAGTTGTTTCATTCCCATACAGATTTTTGTCTTCACATTGTAATTTCTATGCATGCTAGATGTTGAGAACATAGAATATGTATATATGTATATAATTGCTAGGCTCAGTGTCTCTAAACTTAATTTATTTGAATGCTGTTGTGCTGTTTTATTATTTTATTCCCAGGATGAAATTGATGTTGCAGTTAAGTTGTTGCTGTCATTAAAAGTAACCTATAAAACAGCAACAGGTCAAGAATATAAAGCAGATTCTCCTCCAACAGATTTCACTCCAGTCAGTAATAGTCCAGACAATGCTGAAGAGGATGATTTTGTGGATCCCTGGACAGTGCAGACATCCAATGCAAAAGGAGTGGATTATGATAAACTTATAGGTGTGTGGGGTTCTGTTACCTTAAAAAAACATGTTTGTTTGTTTGCTTATTACATGTATATGCTGCCCATCTCACTTTCAAGTGACTTTGAGTGGCTTACAACATCATAAAAGCGAAAGTACAGGATATTAAAAACATTGAAACATTAAATATTAATATAAATTAAGATTAAATGAATTAGAAAGGGGAATTCAATGTGGATGATGATGGGGATGTTATTTGAAATACAGCTTCAAGCTCTGCAGGTGGGATTTCATGAAAGTGTCATAGTTAAGATGCTAGAATACATTGAGCCTTGATCTTATTCAACTAGTATGTTTCTTTAATAGTTAAGATTTGCAAAGAAGCCTTATTAAGTTTCCTTTCCTTTTTAAAGCCCAACTTTTATGGACAGCACTGTAGGGATGTTTTTTCAGTTTGGAATTTTTAAAATTATGATTATGTTTAGATTCTAAAAGCCATGGGATGTGGCAGTATCACTGGAATGGGGACAACCGACATTAATAGCCCATTTTTATGTTACTATTTAAGGGCTGAAACAAAATAATACATCTGCTGTAGAGTTTAACTAATCCTTCAAAAAGCAAAATATTTAACAATGTCATATTCAATAGATTTTACAGAATAAATCTTAAAATATACTGTGTATTCAGACATCAGGGTGATTTTTTTACTGAATTATGAAGGTAATATAAACAGGTATCTTGAAATCTAATTAATTGCATAAGTAGACATGTTCTGTCAGCAAATATTTATTGTACAGTTAATTTTCAAGTCAAGATCAGCTACCTATTTTATAACTGGAGATTTCAGGAGACCAATCAAATCGCAAGAATTGTCACTTTTTGACCTTTCTCTTAGGTAGTCATAATTTACATATGGTACAACCTTTTCAAAACATTTCAACTATTTTCCCATTTATTTTGTGAGGAATGGGGCTATATGATGTACTGTGAATTAATTTATTCACCATCATGTATGTAATTTAATGTCTATTTCTGTTTTCAGTTCGATTTGGCAGTAGCAAAATTGATAAAGACCTCATCAATAGAATAGAGAGAATTACAGCACATAAACCACATCATTTTCTACGGCGAGGTATTTTCTTTTCTCATAGGTAAGTATACTTTATCACTAGCTTATTTGAATCAAACAAAATACCCTTTCTAAATGCCTTTTTCATTCATCTTAATATATTGAGTACTGTTCTACAAGCATCCCTATGAAAGAAAACTAAAACTTGGAGCATGAAATGGAAATGGTGGTGAAATACATTCCTTGTATTTGTCTATGAAGATTCTCAGTCATCCAGGTCATGGTTGTCCTAAAGGTGCTTTTTTTCACAAAAAAACAACAACCCCGTTTCGTTTCTCATCCAAGAAGCTTCTTCTCATCCAAGAGCTGAAGTAGTTTCTTGGATCAGAAGCGAAAGGTCTTCAAGAAAAACAAGAAAGTCCAAGCATTGGGATTCCCTGTATTTCAAAACTGGAATGTTGTTACATTTATAAATTATGGCATAGTATCTTTTTTAATACAAAATAATCACTGAAATGTGTTCATACTGCTGTCATTCATCTTTACATGACTGGGCGTTTCCTTAAAATCATACAATATTTTCTCACTTTCCTCCAGAGATATGAACCAAATTCTTGATGCCTATGAACAGAAGAAGCCATTTTACCTTTACACAGGCAGAGGTCCCTCATCTGAGACAATGCATGTTGGCCACCTTATCCCATTTATGTTTACAAAGTAAGTAATATGTTTTTTTTATTAAATGCTTCCTTGTTTTAAAAGTAGTTAATCTCAGTGGCAGATGTTTGTTGTTGTTAATTGCGAAGTCATGTCCGACCCATCGCGACCCCATGGACAACGTTCCTAGAGGTCTTCCTGTCCTCTACCATCTTCTGGAGTCCATTTAAGTTCATGCCTACTGCTTCAGTGACTCCATTCAGCCACCTTATTCTCTGTCGTCTCCTTCTTCTATTGCCCTCAATCTTTCCCAGCATTAGGCCCTTCTCCAGTGAGCCCTTCCTTCTCATTAGGTATTAAATGCTGATATTGGGAATTAGGACATGGATGTTGAGATCAATATACAGGGAAGTTTACAGAAGTATCATTTCTTTGTTGATCTCTCTTCTTGAACTTTGGTATACTCTCCTGAATTGTGTTTCTGCTCATGAAGAATATTTGCATCCAATTTTGACTTCAGTTTATATAGTGTTCCATTTCCAGAGGTACGTGAAAGATTTACAAGATATCAGTATTGTAGAATTCAAAATTTATTAATCCAAAACTTAGTTAACATAATTAACTTGAGAGCACTCCTGTCAGGTGCTGCCTTCCTTATTCCAGAAATCAGCCATGTATATCAGTTTGAAACCAACATGAGTAATTAAAGGATTGGAGATAAGAGAAACAATTATTATTTGAAATTGTTCAGGCAATTTGTTATTTTACACAGGCAGGGCAAAGTATTTATTAACATCTATCAGCATGACGCATATATGGAATTCGATATCTAGAGACATATGTTATGTCTAATGCTGCAGGGAAAAAAACAGGTAATTCCCAAAATCTGAATATCAAACTTAAGTACTGTAATTGTATCAGTTGTCCAAAATAATTGCTGCTGTAGGAAAATTACATGCACAATTAAGCAAAATAAAATCAAATATTAGAACCCAATATACAAGGTAGGATATGATGAGAAGAAAAGTAATGTTTCAGTAATGTATAGTACTATTCATAGGGATAAACTAATTGGCATTACTAAATTGGTTTGTATTTTAAGAGGCAAGCTAAATTGGTTTGTATTTTAAGAGGCAAGCTACTACCATGCAGCAAGAGGGTACTACCATTCCAAGGAAGCATGGGCATCTCCAAGGACTGGGCAGGAAAATGACTTTGTTTGTCATGGCATCATCACATAAATAATATGTCTAATGTACTTGCTTCAAGTGTCATAAAATAATTATGTAGTCATATCATTTACACTGTGATACAAAGATACATGTATCATTTTGATGTCATCATGGCTTGTTATACATATTGGTTAAAAGATAAACTACTTCCACAATTTATCATATACATTTATCATATACATTACCACATTATTATTAGCATACAGTATCTGTAGGCAAATGTGTATCTACATACCAAGAGATATACTCAAATAAATGTTGCCAACTGAGAAAATATTTCTCCAAAGGTTACAAAAGTGATTGTAAATAAGTTTGTCAACTTGTAATTTGCATATCTCATAATTTAACTAGAAGTTACCTTGAAACACTTGTTTTGTGTAAACTTGTTTTGTTTCTTACTAGGTGGTTACAAGAAACATTTAATGTTCCATTAATCATACAAATGACTGATGATGAGAAATATTTGTGGAAAGATCTGACCATTGAAAAAGCTTACCAGTATGCTATAGAAAACATCAAGGACATAATAGCCTGTGGATTTGACATTAATAAAACTTTTATCTTTTCTGATTTCTCTTATATGGGGTAAGGCTCTTATTTTTTGATAACTAAATGATCAAAATTCATCATTTTGAGGTAATATTAAGCTATCCAGGTAATATTAAACTAACCATGTTGTTAAACTAATATTAAACAATACATTGCACTGGTGCTTCTTTAATCAATTTTCTTTCAAGAAATCTAATACATAATATGGCATGTATCAGTTTTAGAAAGAACACTGCTTTAAAAAAGCTCTTTGAGATAAAAGCCAGCATAAAGAGTATTCGTTTACAGAATAATTCTGTTTTGAGTTATTGCCATTAAAAGTATGTTTGATAGCCCTGCATTTCTTTATCATACTAAGGAGCCATTTGAAGAGATTCAAATATCATGGTTGAAATATAATTCTTATGTTTTATTGCACTAGGGGGAACAAACAGAGCTACAGCAACAGTTGGAATTCTTTCAGCTTTAGAAAAAACAATATTTTATTAAAAGAAAAACATTCTTGAATTGGGCTGTGTTTATTGTTTGGCTAAGCTCTGAAAAACTATCTTGTGGTTTTCTACAGAGTTTTAATGTTCTAGGATTGCAAACTTAGAAGGTGTAATATATTACATTGCTTGAGTTGACCTGGCTCAATTCCTGGAGTGCTCTTTGCCAGGCTGCATTGACCTGATGAACACAACAGAATCAGTTCTTATAATGTCTTGTGATAATTAATAGCTCTGGAGGGTGAAAACTAAAGCAACTTTGGTTTTTGAAATCAATTGGTGATCCTTTATCCATATGAAAATCAATGGAATGAAAAAGTATTACAATTCTTTGTGGCTTAAATACAGTATGAGAACAGAATAAGTCTGTATAAGCTTATAAGTACCTTTATACTAAAGTGAAATCTATAATAAAATAATGCTTCATGAAAAAGCTAATTAAAGTAGCTTAAATTTTATTTAAACCTAACTCTGAATACCATATATATTAATCATCCATGTTTCCTCATAACCTGATTGCAATATTGACTTATGAGCATTCTCAAGAAAACATTTTTCTCTGTGTTAAGATTTGGGATTTTGATTTCTCTGCCCTTTTCCCAGGACAAGTGTTGGCTTCTATGAAAATATTGTTAAAGTTCAAAAGCATGTGACATTTAACCAAGTGAAAGGAATCTTCGGTTTTACAGATAGTGACTGCATAGGTGAGTTATGATAGAATTCTATTGACTAATTAATACAAGATATTGGAAACAAAAACTTACCTGAAGTTCTGGTTCAAAAAAAATAAAACAGTGAGATACAGTGCTTGAATCTTGGACTAATGCCAGGGACAGCAGGTTCAAATTTTAATTAACCATGGAGAATCGCACAAATAATGAACTTTGCTTTTATGCTTCACAGTATTTTTCTGAACATAAAATTAATATAGAAACTATCTTCAGCTTTTGGAAGGGGTTGTGAGGGTGGATATGAAATAAAAATGTCATAAGTAAATTGACTGGAGGCCTCTTTGCTTTATAAGGATAGTAGTTGTAGAGATATACATTTGTTATAGTTGTAATCTAGATAGATGGAGAATTTGAGATATATGGCTGAACTATAGCTCGCAGCATCTTCAGACACCCTTACTAATGATGAGGGTAGCTGTGAGTTTTTCCCTCTTGTACTTGAACTGGGATATTGTCATTTCTGCTTAGGTAATGTTTAGACAGCTAAAAGTACGGTGTACAGAAAAGAAAAAGAATATTTGAAATGGTTCCAAGATCATAACATCAAGTAAAAATCACTGTCACAAAGTAACAACTATTTACATAACAGCTCCAATTGTGATGTTTCAAATTACTATTTAAGATTTTAAAATATTTATTTGCTCGCATGTTTCCTGTTAAATGTGTAATTCTGAAATATATTTATATACATTCTTTACATGTAATAAGTTATTTAACTTTAGGCCTCTCATAACTAGCATTTCTTATAACATTGGCATCTAATTTCTGTATTTAACCACTCTATTCTTCATTATGTTTTATTGAACAAATGAGTATTTTGTGCTCTCCTAGGAAAGATAAGTTTTCCTGCTATTCAAGCAGCTCCATCCTTTAGCTCATCATTTCCAGAGATCTTCAACAATAGGAAGGATATCCAGTGTTTGATCCCATGTGCAATTGATCAGGTAAGAAAGTTGTCTGAGATGTTTTAAACAGCTTCCATCAGATCCATTACATCAGGGGTGTCAAACTGCCGGCCCGCAGGCGGGATGCGTCCTCCGGAAGACGCCCCAACTCCATCACCAGCAATGGCAAAATCGGCCCGATACGTTGCGCGACATCATATGACGTCGCGAGTTTGATACCCCTGCATTACATCCATTACATCAAATCCAAATCCGAGCGTAAACATTAGAACTATATATACATTCTGTAGATCTCTAGTTGCAGCTTGCCTTTCATCCAAGCTTCTGTCCTTTTTAGACAAGTTAACTTAAGGTTTTCCAACACTTTGTACCATTTGTAGTGCTCTTCCTCTCCTGACCTACTGTACACTATAGCAGTTCATTCTGTGATGCTTTTTGTTCTGGTTTTTTTTTCTGTTTTTAGGATCCCTATTTTAGAATGACAAGAGATGTAGCTCCTCGGATTGGCTATCCCAAGCCAGCATTACTGCATTCTGTCTTCTTCCCAGCCTTGCAGGGAGCACAAACAAAAATGAGTGCTAGTGATCCTAACTCTTCCATCTTTCTCACTGATACACCCAAGCAAATCAAAACAAAGGTAAGAGACCAGTACTGTACACAGGTTGCATTGCTATTGAGTTCCAGCTCTACTTTTTTTCACAGTTTTTCCCCAAAGAATGTTGTAGCAAACATATATTCTTAAGCAGACTGAGCCTTAAATACTTCACTCTACTCAAGTGTCTTTGCACTGCAAGCTAAACTAACTGCAGTATTTAATGTATTAAGGATCCTCCAACTGACTGACTCTCCATGGCACCATGAAATCATTTCATAGTGACAGTTGCTAGGCAAGTTATCAAGGTGTGTAATCCCAGTCTGCTTGGCTTTAAAGAGCGTGGGCTTTCCTCATCAGCCATGTTTTGCATATCTCTTGTAACATGCAATTGTCATACCCTGGAGGAGATCAGTTCTATCTTTCTATGGATCATTAGCATAATGTTATGTTTTATTATTTTTATCATTATAATGATGCAAAGGAAAATCCATAATACGTGTCTCAGCAACATATTGGTGGTGGGTGGAAATGTAACTCAGTTGTGATTAATAAGATGTATTTGTTTTTGATTCGATGTGGCCTTCTTTGCTTTGCAATATCAGAATACTATATGTTACCTGAAGCTTATATAACATTTAATTGTAATATGTTGATTAATTTTGAAAAACCTATAGATGCTGTTTATTATATATGAAGTTTACTTTATATAAAAGCTTTCCCCCACTTCTAATGCATGCACATATTCTTGTATCTTGCTCCAGATTAATAAACATGCTTTCTCTGGTGGCAAAGACACTGTTGAAGAGCATAGGCAGTATGGTGGCAACTGTGATGTAGATGTGTCTTATATGTACCTCACCTTCTTCCTTGAAGATGATGACAGATTAGAACAAATTAAGCAGGTAACTGCCATCTCCTTTGGAAATATTTTGTTCCGCTTGAAAAACTATTCAGAGATGATCATCCTTTTTCAGTACCACAAGGGGCCAGATTCCTGAGCCAAACTATAAGTTGTTTTTTTCTTAAAGCATTTCATTGAGGCATCAGAATCTATTTTTCATCTATAAATTTAATATTGTTTCCTCTGAATACAGCATAATTATTTGAAATAGAAGGTAGTTACTTTTTTATATTTAAATTGTGCCTTGTCCCCAAGATATTCAAGGTGGTATACGTGGAACTCCTCTCTCCCACTTTTTCCCACAACACTAAATGATTGGCCCAAAGTCGTTCAGTAAATGTCTATGTCTGAAAGTTGAATTCATCCTGTCTCTTCCCATTCCTGCTCTAGCTATAACACTGCACTAGCTAAGTATTCAGAGAGTTAAAAGGAGTCATCAAAATGCACCTCCAATCCACTATCCTGTGCCTAAAGTATCCCTTTCTATGATGTTCTATGGAGGGAATGATACTTCTAGTATCATGACTTGGAGGGAATGATACTTCTAGTTAAGAAAGGCAGAGTGCTTTCCATGCCCACACAGTACCTTTTAGGAGATTAGCAGGAGATGTTATTGGATATGAACATTCCCTTTGACTGTGACATTCTTTGGCAGGCTTACACAAGTGGAGCCCTGCTGACAGGAGAACTCAAGAAGGTGTTGATTGAAACACTTCAGCCCTTGATTGCAGCTCACCAGCAAAGGCGAAAGCAGATCACTGATGAAATGGTGAAGGAATTCATGACCCCACGGAAGCTGGCATTTGACTACTAATTCTACAATTGCATGTTAATTTATCAGCACATAAAGATCACATGTTATTGTACTTTGTTGTTCTTTTTTTGCCTTAATTATGTACAGGCATAAACAGCCCTGCTTGTAATTATTAAGTTATCCCTATTCAACTAATGGTTATATAGGGAAACCATGTGTCTGTACTTGACAAAAAAAACAGAAATTACTTGTACATAATATTTGGACTTCATAGGTTAGCATGGTAATTTATTTCCTGGAAAAGATTGTTCTTCCACAAAATACCTGGTTTCATGGAGCATGTTGATAGGAAGAAAACTGACTTTAAAAAGAATTCAACTCTGTGGAACATTTTTATATCAAGGAAGATTTCCTTTTTCATCTCTAACTTAAATTTTTTGTTACAGTAAATATATATATATATATTCAAATATTTCATTATACTAATTATTTTACTGTCTAAAGTCATGAGGTGTTGATGGGTTTTACAGTCAGAATAATATTTATGATTGTTTTGAAGACAGAACAGTTTAATTATTCTTTGAATGATAGCTAGCTGGGAAATAGTCAAAGTATACTGAAATTTTTGCTGACTTTTGCCAAATCATGGTACAAAGTATTTCTAACATAAAAGCAATTATTTCCTAAGAGCAATACAAAATTTACCAGAGTCAAAACTACTCACTTGTCTTTGTTTCCAAGCATCCTGAAGTTACATCAAGCTATTCCGTGATATCAGTGAAGTTTAGATCGTAAAGGATATGTTTGTTTCTGTTTTGTATCTAATGACTATATTTCTAGTGTAATTGTTCAACAAAAAATAATCTTCAGAATGTAGCTTGTCATTCAGTATCTCCTATATAGAGATTCTTGGCTTTGGATGCAAATGGCAATAATTATTCCATTGTTTTTCTTTTAAATAAAATAATAGAATCATGAGGTTGAAAGGAATCTAGTCCAACCCAGTGTAGGAATCCACATACCATCTGGCCCAGTGTAGGAATCCACATACCATCTTAGACAAAACTATCCAATTTTTTTCTTAAAAACTTCCAGTGATGGAGTACCTGGCAGGACTATTCCACTTCTTACCAACTCTTACAGTCAAGAGATTTCTCCTTATTTCCAGTTTGGATCTCTCTTGGTAAAACAACAACTCATTCAGGTTTTTTTCTTATCCTCAGATTCTATGGAAAATAAATTCACACACTTAGCCCCATTACATTCTTTCATGTATTGGTAGGCTGCAGTCATGTCTTCCCTTAGCCCTCTTTTTTTTATGCTAAACAGACCAAATTGTTTTAACCCACGAGTGTCAAACTCGTCACGTGACGTGTTGCGATGTATCGCGATTTTTTTTGCATTGCCGGACCTGGGGTGGCCCGGCCTCTCTATGATGCAACCGGTCCGCGGGCCAGCAGTTTGACACCCCTGATTTAACCGCTCTTTGTAGGTTTTAGCTTCCATGCTCTTTACTGTCTTTGTTGTTCTTCTTTGTCCTCTCCAGTTCCTCAGCATTCTTTTTGATTTATGGCAATCAGAACTGCAGTATTCCAGGTGCAGTCTGACCAGTGCAGCATATAGTAGTACTATTACTTCTCATGATCTTGACATTATGTCTATTGACACAGCCAAAAAGTGCATTGGCCCTTTTGGCAGCTGTGCCATATTGCTTAACCTGTAGTTTATCAAGATATCCCGATCCTTCTTACTACTAAGCTAAGTGCAGAACCTTAACATTTGTCATCACTGAACATTTTTGGGATGGAGTTCAATGTTCAAGTTTTTCTAAGTCCTTTTGAATCTTTTGCCTATCTTTTGTAGTGTTAACAATCTCTCCCTTTGTTTCGTTGACAAATTTCATGAGTATTCTTTCTATTCCCTCATCTAAATAATTTATGAAGATGACAAAAGAGTACTGGGTTCAGAACAGAACTCTGAGATATCCACGGCTTACCTCTCTTCATGAAAACATAGACCCATTAAGGACCACATGTTGGCTACAGTCATTTGGCCATCTGCAAATGCATTTAGTAATGAGACCATCCATCTCACATTATCCCAGTTCAGGGGTAGGCAACCTTGGCTCTTTTATGACTCGTGGACTTCAACTCCCAGAATTCCTGAGCCAGCTATCCTGGCTCAGGAATTCTGGGAGTTGAAGTCCACGAGTCATAAAAGAGCCAAGGTTGCCTACCCCTGTCCCAGTTTATCAAGAAGAAGGTAATCAAGCAAAGATTATGAAGAATCAGATGGGATTTCTCTGCTGATCCAAAAACGTTTAGATCAGTGTTCTAGTATTGATGAATCAGGGAACAACAGTCCTGATTTGAACTTGAAAGAAGTCAGTAGAATTGTTCTATGCTCCTGTTGCCTGTGTCTTGAGATATTTTTTTTAAAGTAGCAAACCCTGTGAAATAACAAGTGTATATATCTGTGCAAAGCAATGTACAGGAAGTGAGATTGTATAAGACTGTAAAATTTACACCTCAGGAAGACTCCCTACTCCATAGATATTTGCTCACATTTCTATGTATCAAGGCTATTTATGTTCAAAGATATTCTGCATAGCCAATCTATTTCTCATATAATTTTGTGGTAGGATATATTTTATTCAACAAAGGCTGTATGATAACAGAATTTTACTTTATTCCAGCTTAATTTTTTCTACTTCAGTGACAAAAAAAATACTTTTCAGGAAAATAGAGCATTTATGCATTAAATCTCTGCAAAATCCATTCATTAATATGCATTAATTTGGGAATTGATTTTATATTTATTTTCCCCCACTCCTCAATTACCTGTGAATTAGAATGGGGTGATTTTAGATTTGCTGAGAAAAATAAAAGCCCTTGGAAAACTAGAGAATGGGTGGAAATGTAAATGGCTTCAGGGCAAACTAATCTGAAGATTGCTCCCACCCCTTCAAAGAAGCTGTTTTTGTGGTAAATTTAACTCTTTTTATAACACAGGACCTGACTCTACCTTTTCTTTCTCTCCAGTTGACTCTTGCCTTCTCTCCATCCAGTTTTGTTCTCCCTTCCCCCCCCCCCCTCAAAAATCAGTTCTCTTCTTTTACCCATACAGTTCTTTTCCCTTCAGTCTTATTTGCATGCTGGGTTTGGAGTAGGTTTATTATTTTGGTTTTTTTTTTTGCTGGAAAGAGAGGAGAACAGGTGTGTTATATGTGAAAATATAAAACGTGGAAGCAATTTTCTACATGAGGTTATTCTGTTAATATAAACTTATCGTATCAACTTTTCTGAACTGTAGATTTTGACACACATACTATATATAAAGGTATCAGATGCACTTATGTATTTGGCAAAAATAATCTTCAGGACTGCTTTAGCTGAAATTGTCAATCATAGGCTGACTAGATATAGAAGTTGGAAATGTGTAAAGCACTTCCTTTTTTTTTCTTTGTGTAGGATTGTCTAGAACAGGGGTCCTCAACCTTGGCAAAGCTGGCTGAGGAATTCTGGGAGTTGAAGTCCACAAGTCTTAAAGTTGCCAAGGTTGAGGACCCCTGTTCTAGAAGATTATCAGAAGTACAGGTTTCTCCTCTTTCGGGTAGGTATGGTACACATTAATAACTTGGAGAAATAACTTGGAAGTTTCCCTAATTATTGGAGCTTTTGATATAAATCTGACATTGCATTCATTAGGGTGTAGATTAGAAGATAATGCAACAGAGAAAAAGACTATAATCTAAGCTAAACAACTGCAGTTCCATATGTGTGTGTGTATACACATGCATGCATACATACATACATATATACATACAACACAGAGAGAATTGAAAAGAATGTGTCCAGTATACATTTGTGCATTTTTATTTTTTTCCTTTTTCTTCAGTAGTACAATTGTTAAAAGTCCAATTTAAAAATAACAGAAAATTACCATACTCAATCATTTCGTTCAACAGTTTAGTAATAAGGAGAATTCCTTGGTGGTGTACAATAAACTGTGGAACAAAATACTTTCATATGAATACCAATTGTACACAAATGTGTGCATATTTGTTGGCAGTATGGCAGTATGGCAGCCCCTCAGATTCTAGAATACATACATACACATGCACAAATGCAAATAAAACAGCTGTAAAGTTCTTTAAATTTGCTAGTGTGTCTCTTCTTAGTTTTTAGTCAGCTGCTTACATGGCAAGTTGTTGTAAATAGCAAATTGTTATACATAGCAAATATGCATGCTGTTTAGCCTGGTGGCCTCAATATACTGTAATGTTGATGTGGCTTCCTAATGTCAAATTCTTTAAAAATGTATAAGAATCACAATAAATTTTATAGTTTATAAAACAGCATTTTGAATTTAATAAGATAGTTAAGGTGTACATGGAATCCAGTTAAGGGTTTCAAAGTGATTCTTGTAAAAGATCCTTGTAAACTGAAAAGCATGAAACTTTTTATTCAACATCTTGTGGATTATCATCGGAATCTGTACTGTAAACAGAAAATTAAATTAAGTAGGTTTTGTTTGGCTGATGGCCTTGTGATTTTCCTATTTCTGAAGACATCTGTGTTTTATTAACAATGAATAGATCAAAATCAATGCAAATTCTTACAATTCAGTATTTGGAGGTACAATGTCTATATCACTTGCACATTTTCTATATCAACTTTAATAAGCAAGTTCCTAGGAGGTACAGCAGTTCATGTCCTTGTTTGTTTGAATTTTGTTGTTAATTGCGAAGTCGTGTCCGACCCATCGCAACCCCATGGACAACGTTCCTCCAGGTCTTCCTGTCCTCTACCATCTTCTGGAGTCCATTTAAGTTCACGCCTACTGCTTCAGTGACTCCATCCAGCCACCTCATTTTAAGTAACACATTTTAAGTAAGGTTTAAATTGAGTGGGTTTGCTCCTATAAATAGGAGAAAAGCTGTGTCTTTTAGAAAAATAGCTCAGCAAAATGTAGCACTTGATGTAGCACATTTTGAGAGTTAGAATAGAAGGGACCTTGGAGGTCTTCTAGTCCAGCCCCCTGCTGAAGCAGGAGAACCTATACCATTTCAGACAAGTGACTGTCTAGTCTCTTCTTAAAAAACCTTCAGTGATGGAGCACCCACAATTTCTGAAGGCAAGCTGTTCCACTTGTTAATTGTCTTCACTGTTAGGAAGTTTTTCCTTAATTCCAGGTTGCTTCTCTCTTTGGTCAGTTTCCAACCATTGTTTCTTGTCTTGCCTTCTGGTGCTTTGGAGAATAGTTTGACGCCCTCTTCTTTGTGGCAGCCCCTCAAATTCTAGAATACTGCTATCATGTCGCCCCTGTTTCTTCTTTTTTTTAGACTAGCCAAACCCAAGACCTGCAGCCGTTCTTCATATGTTTTAGTCTCCAGGCCTTTAATCTTTTTAGTTGCGTTTTTCTGAACTTTTTCCAAGGTCTAAACATCTTTTTTGTAGTATGGTGACCAAAATTGGTTGCAGTATTACAGGTGTGATCTTACTAGAGTTTTATAAAGCGGTACTAACACTTTGCGTGATCTTGATTCTATGCCTCTGCTTATACAACCCAGGATTGTGTTAGCTTTTTTGGCTGCTGCTGCACACTGCTGGCTCATAGTCAAGTGATTGTCTACTATGACTCCAAGGTCCCTCTCACAGTTACTGTTTTTGAGCCAGGCCTCGCCTAATCTGTACTTAAACCTTGATTTTTCCTGCCTAAATGTAATACTTTGCTTTTCTCCACATTGAAACTCATTTTGTTGGATAGGGCCCATAGTTCAAGTTTGTCAAGATCTTTTGGGATCCTGAGCTTGTCTTCTGGGGTGTTGGCTATTCCTGCCAATTTAGTATCATCTGCAAATTTGATGAGCTCCCCTTCTATTCCCTCATCTAAGTCATTTATGAAGATATTGAAGAGTACTGGGCCTAAGACGGAGCCTTGTGCTACCCCACTGCTTACTTCTCTCCATGTGGATGTAGTACCATTGAGGACTACTCGCTGAGTACAGTTTGTCAGCCAACTACAGATCCATTTGATGTTGTCTATCCCACCTTTTTCTAGCTTACTAAGCAGCAGATTGTGATCTATCTTGTCAAATGCCTTACTGAAGTCTAAGTATACTATGTCCACAGCATTTCGCTAGTCTACTACTTTAGTCACTTTATCAAAGAAAGAAATAGTTTCTTATTCTCAGATCAGAGCATTGGTCCTGTCAACATTTTGCTTTCTCCTCATCAGTTCTTCATCAATTTAACCAATTTGGACAAGGCTAACTCTAGATATAAGGAATCTCTTGCCAAAGTTTCTTTGGGCTGCTGCCTCTTATATAAATTGTTATGGTAGATAATTGTGAATCGGGTGGGGAGAGCCTTCAGTTATTTCCCACAATGTCCCTCACATAGCATGGCATGGCATGGCATATCATAGCTTGAGAACAATGTGGAAAATGAAAAGGTGTTCAGGCTGGATCTTTCAGGGGCACTGTTATCTCAGGTGATATTCAAGAAGTATGGTAATATCAATCCTAGATTTGTCTACTGTTAAGAGAAAACAAAAGATTTAAAGTAGAGTAGAAATTCTCTTTTCTCTTTCTATAGCACAGGGTCCAGAGGTGATTTATATACATTTCTTGGACCGAAAGCTATAGTTGAATCACAATCCTAAAAAGAGTGAGTCAAGCAGAAAACAAAAGGAGGAAGTCATGAGTCCATCTCCAAAACAGAATAAAAAAGGAGATTGACAGGGCTACAATGCTTTCTCCTTCAGGAGCAGTAGATGCTAATAATGTAGAGCATTGATAGATACAGAGTGCCCCTGGGTAGCATTTCTCAACTAAGAAGTAGGCACTTCATGTCCTAGAATAATTCCCCAAACATACATCTTAAAATTGCCACTGTTGAGAAACATTGCTCTAGGATGGGGCTTTTCAACATGAAAATGTTGAACTTCTTGGAATTACAGTATATGAGAGACTAAAGGCAAAAAAAATGTTCACTTTGCCTCTTCATCAGGAGTTGTGGGAATTGTTTTTAACTTAATAGGTTCTATGGCCTGAAAGAGTTGGAAGGACCTTATTGTAGGTACTGTAGTTGGAAAAAAGGTCATGAATTCAGGCAAATTGTTTAAAAAAAAAACCTGAACTTTTTAGGAAAAGAAAAAACATTCTCTTTTTAAAATCCTATAATATTAATTTGACATTCTCACAATTGGGTTCTTAATTTTCCCTTTTTGCTAGTTAGATATCTTTCAGATGGAGTGTCAAGGGTTATTATTTCAACAAAGTCTTCTTTTGCCAATCAAGTGCTGACATTTTTGTGGGAGCCTTTCTGTACAGACAGGCACAACCATAGGACCAAACCAATTTTTATCAAAGACCAGAGCCCTGTTGGACCATTGTTTGCAGATGAGCCATAAAACCAGAGGGTCTTCTTTCTTCCATTTTGCATCTTTGAACCTTATGCTAATCAATTGTAATCAGTAAAGACAATTAAATGCTGTTTTACAACCTCTTACTTTGTTTTACTTCTTTCCTACTTGAATCTGTAAGCTAACAACAACTGCTAGCATTTCCCAAGCCATGAAGATATTTCATAGTTTTATGCTTCTATTTTCCATGACCAGACTTTTTAGATTTGGCAATTGACCTATATCCTAGGTCTTAGGCCAAAGAAACGGGGTCCCTGAGTTGGGGCATTTCTGAGTATTTTCAGTTCAAGAGTTCATAATGGGTGAGCATCTGACATACAGAAGTTTCCCTTCCTGGGTACTGAATTTATTTTTACCCTTCCTGGGTACTTGAATTCCCTCCTTTTCTGAGACTAAATATGGAGAGAGGGGGAAAGGTTGAACCATAGTGATGAAGGTGGCTTTATTCATTGATTGAGACACAATCAAAACAAATACAATACATAACACAAAACTTTTTTATTTATTTTTTTAAAAAATACCCAATTTTTATAGTCCCAAAATGTGTTTAACGACTAGCGTACTATTTGGATTGAGAAACAATCCTTTGATACAGAGGCTAGTTGTCAGTATTTCATAATTAATTAAGATGGCAACATAGTCATTGTTTAAATGTGTTCAAACCCTCCCTCCCCATCAATGATTTTTAAGCTTAAATGAGATATAGATTACAATTGAAATGTTATCTTATTTTAACAGTGTCTTTAATCTTCAAGGAGTCATTTTTTAAAACATGTTTAGTCAAAAGAAAATACAGTCAGGACTGAGTTACAATTCTGACCCTCTTGGATTGATTAAAAGAATGAGCTACAGCAGGCCTTCAGCTCCTAGAAGATTAGTCATTTTTGTTTGTTTGTTAAATGTAACACATTCTAACAATGTGAACCTCATTCTAACTCTTGTTTGCAATTATGGTTCATAAAATAAAAGCATCCTAATTTTTTCCCCTCAGGCTACACAAGTACCCCCCCCCACCAGGAAAAAAAACTATTGAGAGGTTTTAATGCACACATCCAGTTCTGAGATTTGCAAACATAAAGATAATTTATCATCACGAGTTTTCTGAAAAAGTATTTAAATAAATTGGCTTTAAAAATAGGCAATCACTTATAGAATGATGCTGAAATAAAATCTTCATTTCTCCAAACGTTTCCCAAGCCTAAGAACAACTTCATAAGTTAAGAATATCATCATATTTGTAGGAAATGCACGAAGCGAGTTTAGTCCAAGGCCTTTAAAAAGAACTCTTACTCCTTCTTCCCTTATGCTGTCTCTGACACAATGCATTAGTCCAGTATATTTACGCTGTCCATCACCATCTGCTTGCATTCGGGCTTTAATGACATCCATTGGGGTTGCTGTACCCCAGGCAAGAACACCAGCACAGCCCCCAGATATAAGCACAGCCCACAGGTCTGTAAACATAAGTATAAATAGCATGAGTTATCATTAATACTCCAAAATTATTAAAAATCCAAATGTTGGTAAAAAAAATATCCCAAACTTTCTATTAACACTACTATAAGTACCTCAAAGAAAGCCATTTCTCCCACCTTAACATAGGAGGATTTCTTATATTGGCTGAAAATAAAGTAGTGAAGTTTGACAAGTTTTTTGTTTTTGTTTTTTATCTTCTTTTTTGAGAGAGAATCATCTTAAACTCAGTGTCATCTTCCTTTGGGTAAATAAAGCATTATGTAAATTAATATAATCCTCATAAAATATCAGTTCAAGGCAAAACATGAGTAACTGTGTCATTTTCCCAAGCCAAGAGAAGACCTTCAGTCCTCATTATCAAATTAAACTCCATCTAACACAAAAACACACATGTACACACATAGGAATTATGAAACGTGTGACTACAGAATTTGATGATAGTAGCCTAATATGGCTGTCAAAAAGAAATTAAAGAAATTCATGGAGGATATCAAACATTTTCCAAGGTCATCTGGCTGGCCCCTTTGAATCCTGGACACACCATATAAATAACCATATTTAAACACATTATAGAGTAACCACTTATAACCAGATCTGAACATTAAGAATTTGAGATACTTTGCTACATTGATATAACTCTTCATATCATGTATCTTTTATTAAGACTATTAGAAAAAAAGGCATAGCTAAAATAAAAATGTCATAATGCCTTTTTGACCTGCTTTCCATAGTTCATGCCCAAAATGCCTGACATTCAGTGGTGGGATTCAGCTGGTTTGCACCACTTCGGTAGAACCGGTAGCTAATTGTTTGTTGCCCAGGCCCAGAATGGACTTCCGGAAGCAGCATCCACACAAAGAACAGGTTGTTCACATATTTGAATCCCACCACTGCTGACATTCCTATTGTGAAACACAAGATGAGGCATTCAAGAAGTTCTCTAATTCTATTAGTCATCATCCTTCCCCTTTTCAAGTAGGCATGTGATAGTAGTTTCCCTCCCTCTTCAAATACTACCTTTATTGGACTGAGTTGTTTGCTGAAAAATTCCAAATAAGGTTCACTGTCTTCATCTCATTTTGATTTTTATGACTTTCTGTTCAAACTAAGCTACAGGATTGTGTCACAGATTTGAATAATCTGTTTACAATGTAAGTTTAAATATAGTGTGAGAGCCAGATTATTGGGGGGGGGGTTTCCTGCAAGGCAACACTTCAGTAAGGGGGAAACAGGTATTTTCTTCAAGGCTCAAGTTGTTATAGTTTTACCTTAAATAAAACTTTATTACACTTTTGTAATCTGCTACAATAAGTTGTTAGCCAGAGTATCAGCTTTTCCTCAGTGTTTTGGGAATACTGGCTAGAAATTCTGGTAATTGGTAATTTGGAGGGCAATAGATAGGAAGAGGGTGGGCTGTAATATTTATTTATTTGTTCATTTATTTCTTTGTTTATAAGCTACCTGACCCCAGAATGACCCTGCAACCCTATTAGTGAAAGTAATAATAGTGGGAAGCAATCTGAGTCCACATCTTTACCATCGTACTTCCCATGCAATTTCAAATACAACTCTTAAATTATTATTTATTATTCTTCTGACAAATTGTATTGGTCAAGCAAGGGTATTGAACCAAAAGAAAACTCTTAAGGCAAGCAAAAAGAAATCTTAACTCATTTTCCTACTATAATGAATAATCATTTTCTATGCCTCATACTCAGAAAGGTGAATACTCCTGTATTTATTATACTTTCCTTCACTTTCATAGATGAGAGCTTCTTTGCACAGTAATACACAAATACTTTTTTTTTTTACATTAGGGTACTCTCTACTTAAAACCTAAAATGATTTCGGCAATCACCCACAGAATTAAGGAGGGGTGGTGAAGGCTGCTGCCTCAAGATTTGTCTTTTTTTTTTCTTTTTCCACCCCTTCTTTCCTCACTTATTGAGCATATAAATATCCTTCACACCATTCCCTTTCCAGGTAAACAATATTAGGCCAAAACAGCTAAACCAAGTTTAGATCAACACCATTTACTAAACCCCTTCAAACTTTTCTAGGCTTGTAAATCATCCATGCTTCTACCTTATCTATAGATACCACTTCATACAACTTCCCTTTGCTCTCACCAAGTCATAAAATGATTTTAAAAAATCACAATTTGAAAAATCCTTGCACAATTCTTGCTGCTTCAGTAATGGGTTGATACAGAAACTTAAAGTCATATGTCAACTTTTACAATAAATTATAAACTTTCCCAAAATATATGCATATTTAATAATTTAAAATTTAAATGCACAGCATTAGTTACCATACATTCAAGAGAACAAAGCTTTAAAAAAATCCTTTTATGCAGGAAAAGCTGGTGAATGACATCAGAGGACACAGCCTCTGTCAACCAGTTTCATAAGAGTTCAAACAGAATTTTGTAACAAGTACTTTAACTATGTTACACAACCTGTGTAATTTATGTGAATTATCATTAAGCTTATTTTACCTTATTTTATATGCAAAGGATGTGCAACCTCTATTTATAAAAATCAAGGAGCATAGTGAAAAAATAGGACTAAAATTAAATATAAAGAAGAAGTTCTCCAAGAGTCATCCTGACACAGCTGTGTGTACATGTAAACACTGGCAGACATCTGAGGGAAGACATCCTGTATTCAAAAGACTAACATATTCTACCTCAGTATCCTTAATGATGCTTTAAAAAGTTTGTATACCACAGGGTGACAAAGAAAAATGCAAGATAAAAATGAATACATCTACAGCTTCTGAAACAGATGATTCCCATTTAATGCACATACCTGGTTTGTTTTTACCAGTTGGAGTAAGCCAGTCACACAGGACAGAGTAGGTGAGAAAATACGCTCCACATGAATGACAATCCCTGCCCAACAGAGCCAAAGATCCTTTGTACAGACCTGCAAGGCCTTCTTCTTTCACTATTGTCCTCAAACAATGCAAAGAACCTTGATACTTAGGTCTGGAGTCAAAGGGATGAGATGATCCTATTAAGGAATGTGGCTCTTTCTGGATCTGTAATCTTACTTTGGCTATTTCTGCAGGTGATATTAGCACAACCTAGAGAATTATAATTAAAGAGTTAGAATATAGATTAGAGTTAGGATATATATTAGAATCAGATCTTGCTGCCCAGGATCTGGAAGACCTTACCTCAATTTCATGTATCATATCTGATTCTTTGATCAAAATGTATTCCTATATTTTCCAATCATGTTTGCATTTGGCATATCTGCTCTGAAAATTTTCTGTAACAGAAAATTACAGAGCAGGGGTGTCAGACTCACGACTTTTTTGCCACTGTTGGCAATGGGGTGGACACAGTTTCGCTATGATGCATCTGGCCCGCGAGCCGGCAGTTTGACACCCCTGGTCTAGACGAATAGGCAACATTTTAGTAGCAGGGAGGACCTGCTTAATATTTCAGGGTGTGTGTGTGAGAGGTTCATACTGAAAAAGTTGGATCATATACCTGAGAAAGACAAGGATTTTTCTGATTCAGTTCAGTTTAAGGTAAGTTAACATATTACATGCGTTTTAGGATTTAGAATGCAACTTTAGTTGTTTTTCTACATCTAAACAGTTGGAAACTACAGTGCTCAGAGTGGAAACTCTGAGACCACAAAAAGGAACTTGGGACCACAGATTGTCCATCTCACTTCTAAAGATTTGGAGATAAATAGGAGATGCTGACAAATCCTGTTCCCTCAGCACACAGATAGATTCACCCCGTATTATTTTATTTTTTAACCTACCCGGACAGCTCCAGTAACACAACCTGCAAAAGATATATCCACTTTTGATGGTTTTCTGTCTGCAGAGCCATATCGTAATCTACAGATACCATAAAGGAAGTTTTTATAGATTCCAAATGAAAATGATGAAATCAGTGATGCCATTAAAACCGTCATTGAAATCCCTTTGAAGAAACCTGGCACCTGAATGGAAAAGAAAAATGAGCAAAATACCTTTTTAGAATAAAATAAAAAGCATAAGATTCCTTGCAAGCAACAAAGTGAGTATAACCTAATAGTTTCAGATTTTGCTGCTAAACAAGGTTAAAAAAAAAGCTCTAGGCACCCATAATTATTTTATATTACTCTATTTCCCACTTTTATTATTTTTATAAATAAGACAGCGAACACTCACAATACTCCTTCCTCCTCCTATTTTTCCCACAACAACCCTGTGACACGAGTTGGACTGATGGGCCCAAGATCACTCAGCTGGCTAAATAGAAAGTCACCAAAAACAGCCAGGTAAAATATTCCTTTTAGAGTAAAGCCACATGTTATCTTCTTTCTATGTGGCTACTTATTACACTGTAAGAAATTACATTTAGTAAATTTGGAGTCCTTCAGACACTTTGGACTACAACTTCTTTTTTAAAATTTTCTTTTTTATTTTTCCTTTTTTTTTTTTACAAACAAACATAATACACAATACATTTTTTCTTTTCCCTATGTATGTCAACTGCATACAAGGAAAACCAATACAAAATGTTCTACAGATGGCATTTAGCACCGGCGAGATTGGCTAAAATATACAAAAATATGGATCCGGATTGTTGGAAATGTAAAAACAAAGAAGGAACATTTTATCATATGTGGTGGCAATGCCCTAAAGCA